TTTTTTTTTTTTTTTTTTTTGTCTTGGTTTGGCGAATTGGCTTCAAGGAAGTTGATGGGATACAGAAATTAATACCAGTAATTTAAAACAAATAACTGAATGAAACATATTGAGCATTATGAATTAGAGGCATTTTTAATTTGGCTGTTAAGTGGAACACGGATTACAATACAACCAACCACTTCGCTTTTTTCATTTGATACCAGACAAATTGCACTTTTTATGTCTTCTTTATGAGATGTAATGTCAAAAATGAAGAGAGGTAATGTAGTTTGCACTGCAGCTTATCTGCAAATTACAACATTTACTGTACGAGGACCTCAGAGAATTGACACTATCATCGTGCGGTTGGTTCACCAGCACGCACCAGCCAGCAGGTCTCTATTGATCGGACAAAAGAAACCCCACTTCTACAGACTCAGTTGTTTCTTTCACAAGATTCTTATTGTTAGCCCACCTATTCTGTCTTTCTGTCCCCCCCCAACAGAGATTGAATGAGCGCGCAGCATGGGGGTGGAAAATAATAGATGATGGAGAATTGGCAAACACTGTCTGTAAGGCACCACAGGAAGCTTTATTAACCAGGAAACCCAACTGGCATTTTCCAACATACGAACATGGAAAACAAGGGGGGGAAAAAAACTATCAATGTTATTCCATGGAAAAGAATTGAATCAACCAACATCCAAGTTATCAAGCTTTTATAAAACAAGTTTCTACATATAGACAGGTTCAAAAGACCTGCATATCATTCAGGTATAGTTGTTTTCTGTAATTAACTTAACAAAATATTTAGATTAATCAAGCACATTAACATCCTTATATGTCTATTATTTAAAAAATGTATTTAAAAAAAAAATTCGAAGTTCTTGTGAATCACAACAAAACTGCTGAAATGACTTTTTCAAGGTTTTTCCTGTCAAGGTTGCAGTTACCTCTGTTGCTTATGGACCTCATTAACACACTCTTGTTTTTCCTTCCACTAAACTTTCCAATGAACCATCTGCTTCGTTAGTGTTAACCTTTTGTAGCTTACCATCCTGCTAAGCAACTGTAAAGTTAGCAGTCTTTCCTACAATTGTGTAATTGTAGGAAAGACTCCATAATATTCTGTTTTTTTAGAGAAATTTAATTATTTTTTCTGCAAGCCATATTTACTCCAATTACCTGCAGTTAACACTGGAAATAGTCTGTAAAAAGCAATTCTAGAATATTTTAAAAATATAATTTACCGAAATAAATTAACTCTTTGATATTGTAGTTTATACAAAAAGTACCTGCATTTGCAAGCACAAATACGAGATTTTAGTTTGTAAATATTTGTAAATATTTGACCTTAATGTGAGACACACTGACAAACCTATGAATCATCACTGTGCACAGCTTTTTATTCAAAATTTCTAATGGTGGATTGAGGCATGGACCGTTTAATGGGGTGTTTTTTTTTTTTGTTTTTCATAAAACCCAGAATGAGCAATACATTATTCATCCTGTAATTACTGTACTTGAAATATAAATTCAAAAACATAATTATAGTTCTCTGGAAACATAGTTACTTCTACACATAATCTTATTTACTTTTCTAACTGTGAAAAATATGTTGTTCTTATTTCAAAGATTGGAGATGAAGAAAATCTAAAAAAAGAAAAAAAAAAAAGAAGAAATATTAATACTGCATAGAGGGACCTAAAAATAAGTACAGGGTTTTATCCTCTCACTCTCTGACATCTCTATGCTGTTTTAATCTTCTTAGCTCAAATTAAAGAGGTTTTGGAAATAAGACGGATAATTTAAATTCCACTTCTTGATTTTTTTATTTATTTATTTTTTTTAGAATAAATAAAAGAAAACATGAAAATACTTGATTTGTTTACCACATAGAAACAAATTTTTTTTAAGTAATTTCTATAATCAAAATTTATTAAAAAAATTTTTTCCCCTTTTTTGCAACGTTTTGAAAATACTGGGACTTTCCACAGAAAGCTTCCATTAAAGACTCCCCCTCACCCCTCCCACCCCACTTACCTTTATTACAATTAATTTGGGCTGAGAGCATCTGTAATCCTGTTTGTCCCACTAGAGCCTTAATGACACATTAGGCTCTTAAGGCAACACAATGACTAATGTTATGTCCTCCACTTTTCTACTTTGGCATAGTAAAGCTAGTCTGTATACGAACATCAAAGTGTGTGTGCTAATGCGAGTGTGGAAGGTAACATAATGCAAGGTAACAGATTTCTGCCTCCATTTCCCTTTCCTCCTCATATGTCATTTAACAACTGGCTAAAAGCCTGCCCCGATATGTCAAGATTACACTTGCAAATATGTGAGAAAACCTCCTGGAAATACAAGAGATTGTTAGGAGTTGGATGGGGTCTGGTGCTGAATTTGACCCTGAAGCTCAAAGCACATTGGTCAAGCTACGCATGTCGGTTTTCTTCCTTTCAGCTTGCTGCATTGCCCCACAACAAATGGCTGCATTGTGACATTGCTATTTAGCAGAAGCAGTGACTAACTACAGTGTGAGCTGGAAGATAAATAACTCATTCTGACTGTAATGTTTAAAATCCATGTGGATAAAAATGCTATATGAGCCCTTGCCAAGGGCAATCTAGCAATAAATTATAAGGAAACTGGAAACTTATCCCTTTTTATGGCTTTATCTGTTCAGAAATCAGTTCTTCATCGTCACAGACCTTATACGTTTGCATTCCCTTGGCTCTTCAATGTACTTGCTGATCTGAGAACAACTCAAAAAAATGTCTGTTTGTACGTTCCACAAGTTATTTACAAAGTCAAACAGGAGAAACGTGCAAACTAGACGCCGGTTTCTGTTAACTTCAAAAACACTCCATGTTTCTTAATTTTGTGCCACCATAATTACTGCAGATACAAAAAAAAAAAAAAAAGAGAAGGTGCTCACAGAGAGAGAAAATGTCCACCGTCAACAGGCTGTAGTCTGGAGTTCACAGTGGTGGTCCTCTCTTTGCTACTATCGGTTTGTGATGGCAGGGATATGCATAATTAATGAGAGAGCTGTTATTTTTACAGGCTGATGGTGACCAACACATTAAAAGAAGCAGTTTTAACCTCAGGGGGGGCTGGAGGACAGTTTACCGTGACGTGTCCATTTGATGTGAGCTCATTTAGTTATCAGTGACACACGGATACGAGGCATTCTGTTCCACTCAATTATCAAAAGGGCAGAACAATAGTGCAGTAACACAGAGATAAGTCAGCACATTTGGTGTCTCATTAAACACGATGGAGACTAAATAGCTCTTTTACTCATGCTCTGAGTGGTCAGTGTGTCTCAGTGTTTCGTCATGCGAGGCAGACTTTGGATGAAGAGAAAAGATGTTACCAGGTGTACTTTTCACTTCAAAACCAGATGAGCAATTTGATTGCTTGCTTTTGTGGTAAACCACTGAAAAGAGTCGGATAGTTGCCTGGCAACAATGCAAATAAATTTGTATGCTGGAAATGCGGCAACCGAGGATCTTTACCTTTACAATCTGTTGATCAACCTGCTTCATTTTTATAACACGAAGCTAAAAAAAGAAACTGAGGCTATGTCAAGAATTTGGCTGCGTCTTTTTCTATTTTATTTTTTTCCATTATTGATATTTCTATGTGCAGGAATTGAACCTTCATGAGAGAGACGAGCCACAGTTTCCCATTTGTCAGTTGTCAAAATAAGAGTACAAAACCATTAACATGAGTGATTATTTATAGACTTTCAGTTTGAAATGTGGTGGCATGAGACTCGATACAGCAGCTTAGTGAGAGGACTAGAGGGAGAGCTATCCAACGGAGCAGTAAACAAAGATCATTCTTCATATATATATATATATATATATATATATATATATCAAGGGTTAAGGGTTCTGAATAGCTTTGGAGTGCAGTGTAATTCAAATGTGTTAATCTATGCTATGATGCCGTGAGAGTCTATTGTAAACGGTACATTCAGAATTCTTTGAATATTTTTTACCAATTTGCGCCGGCTAAAAATACTTTCTCCTCTGTTCGAAAGATTTGCATTTAGCATAGTCTGCAATGAGATACCGACACCGTCTTTTTAACCTCAAGGCTAAGCTGTCATCCTGAGAAAGATAGTAAAAGTGAAGCTTCGCTCTTCATGGTTTCCGAGCAGAAACGTTAAGTCTTGAACGGGGTAATTAGCTGAAAGTGAAGCCTCTTCTTCGGCCAGACTTTGCAACGAACGTGATTGGAAGTATTTTTGTGTGAGTCACAAAAAAGATCCTGTCATAGGAACTCCTACCAGTAACCGACAGTGGCTCCCACTGTTTCGGTTCCTGTGCTTGTTATCGCCAGAGGAGGGGAAACTAGGGAAGGATGGAAGCTGGGCTGCTCGCCCTGAAAAACTCCCTACTGTCAAGTGAAAAGAAGCAGCTTGCGTCTCTGTTTGTATCAGGTGAACCATGTGGTAGTCTGCACCATCCTAAAGCCATCAGTAGGAGTTGGCATTGACAGGAAGTGCAGCACAAAGGGGAATTGGAGACAACTAAATTGATACTTGCCAGATTGCCTAGTTGCTAGGTAACATTGGTAACAGTTCTGTCAGAATTTCCTGGTGTACAAAACACATTAGACGTCAGCGCAGTCTCTTAGAAAAACGTATTTGCTCTAAACAGCCCCAAATTCACCTGAAAAAATAATATCTGATACTGAATGTACTGTCGGAGCATTAACACGGTGTTTTGTATTCCTTTTGCAGACTGGTAGAAAAGAAAAAGGGGACCCGCTGAACTCAGCCATTGACAAAATGACCAAAAAGACCAGGGACTTACGTCGACAGGTGAGTTCATAATATCTTGAAATCACATCTGTCTTCACTCTGTATTAGCATCAAGAGTAGCAATCAAACATTTTTTTTTACATTGTTTGTCTTTTCTGCATGTAGGCAAACAAAATCTACATATCGTATATGTACCTTAAAAAAAAAAAAAGATTAAAATTTTGTTGCTGACCTACTGATATGAGATGCATTTCAATTTCCAAGCTTGGTGATTGATTTGGTTTTCCTCCACAACAAAACAACGCCTTCTGTTGTGGATCATGTTCACCCTTGTCAAAGAGATCTTGATCTGCTTCGTTCTTCTCTCTGGCTGGTTGGATACAGGTTTTTTTTTGTTGTTTTTTTTTTTTTTGTTGCTGGTTATTCATGTGAAGGATCCACTCTCCATGTAAGGAAGGCCAAAATTGCCACAATCTAATTTAAACCTATTCAATGAATTAGAATATTACTGAAAATATTATTAATTTGTATATTTAAAACAATTTTGGCATTTAAATATTCAGGTGTAAATGTATTTCTATGCTTATCTTCAATTTCATTTATAGCATCACATTTATTTATGTATGTATATTTATTGCCGTGGTTAGTCACTGTATTGTGACACTTTTGGCATCCTATATTTGCGCACCAAAAGACTTGGTCTCTTTGGAACTCTGATGACGGCGAAATCCTTCCAGGTGGGAAAACTGCAATGGCTTTGCTGGTGGGGTATTTGGAGGGGACCGTTTGATGGGCTGGCAGGCGGTATTCACTCTGACAGGATGCTCTATTGACTCAGGGGTAGACTTGACAGAATGGGCGGTGTGTTTAAGCTTTCAGTTAACATGAGAGGGTAAACTCACAATGCACATGCAGGCGTTACATTGAGTTGTGATACTGTAATTATGTCAACAAGACACGTGTTGTGTTTAGTGAGTCAGTGTAGAGACAGCAGCACATCCTGAGGGGAGGAGCGCAGTTGTTCTGAGAATTTACGTCCCATGATCTCCTCAGCGAAAGGAGAAATCATGTTGCAAACAAGCCCAAATGACAGGCAACATTTGTGAAATGGGAGCAGGTAAGACCAAGCAAGGCTTGTGACAACACCGCTGGAGACACGGCATGTTGTTTTCGCTTTCATGCTGATGTGTACACACACACACACACACACACGAGACAATCCTAAGCTGTCTGTTATCCGGGACAAATTCAGAAGCTGTCAAGGGTACTGCTCGATCATGCCTTCATTCTGCATTTGTGGAAAACGTTGCTGCGCCATCATGTCTGGGAGAAGGGATGAATTGCAATATTTACATGTCTTAAATGTAGAAGGATTCTGTTTTAATTTCAACACGCTTCACTTGTGTATTTTTTATTCAAAGAGTAAAGCTCAAGTGTTTAACTAAACTCCTTTGACTTCCAGCTTGGCACTCTTGTTGTTATTCTTGCGTTAATAATAACACATGCTAGAGGACATTTACTGGACCAGGCAAAAGCATTGCTTCTCCTTAAACTTTTTTGTATTTTGTCATTCTTCTAGGACTCAATTTAGCATATTACTGTGAAGTGGAAGGAAGAGCACACATGGTTAACCCTTTTTTTATTTTATTTTTTTATTTTTTTGCAGAGTTTTTGGGTTGTGTTTCTAACACACATCTACAGACTGACATTTTTGCCTGGTCTTCTTTGGAAGCTAGCTCAAGTTTAGTCAGAATGGTTGGAAGGCGTATGCGAACATCAGTTTCCGTAGCTTGAAACAGATTTCCATGTGGATATAGATCTGAACTTTGACTGCGACATGTATATGCTTCTATGTTGAGGGTGATGCTGCTCTTCTCCCCTGATCTAATCATGTCCTCCAATTGTCACAACAGAAAAACAGCGTGTGCACAGCATGGTGCTGCCAATAACAAGTTTCACTGCTGATAAAACTGTGATGGTGATTTCTTGGTATTTAGGGCAGTACTTTTCTATACAGACAGCGTTTTGGATGCATCTGAGGCAGAGATTAAATTAAACACAGGTGTTTACAACCAAATCTGAAGACATTTGGTTGCACTGGATTTTATTTAAAGGAAAATAAAATCCCTTTCACTTCCTAGTTGTGCACTTTGTGTCAAATAAAATCGAAATAATTACGGGAGTTTTGTAACGTGACAAAATCCAAAAAAAGTTAGTGACTTGCTTTTGAAGACACTGTGAAAAGAATAAAGTAAAACTAAAACTCCTCAAGGCATTTTCATTGCTCTCTTGTGGAGAGTTACATGATAGTAGGTGACTGCTGGACTGTGCCCCTCAACAGAGTAACCCACTGAAATTTTCATAGGCTCACAACAGGCTCTCTCAAGTGCAACAAGCACAACACAGCCCCAGTGACAGAAAAACAACCCACGTCCATCCATGAAATGTGAAGATCAGACAAGATCACATCTAAACCAAAAGCTTTCCTCTAACTTGATTTCAAAAAGTCCCCTCTCCTTATGCCTCACCAGTCTTTTAACAGCAGGTGACCCTCTGCTACCCAGTTGTACATCTGGTACTGGCAGCACATGATTATTCTCCATGAATGTCCCTGTTCCACTAGGAACACTTACAACACAGATTTAAAAATTCCAAGTAATAAAATAGCAAGATTGATTAATTGTATTAGTATTTTAGGAAAAAACAAACAAACAAACAAAAAAAAAACCATTGAGAAATAAAAGCATGTGTTGCCTTCAGAAATGAGGGAATAAAGGATTTTGACAAGACAATTGCAATTGAAGAAAAGGAAGGGATTAAAAAATGTATGAAGGCAGTGATAGCTGAAGTGTGAAAGTACAATCACTACTCTCGAGAATGGTTCTCTCTATTTTTTATGCTGTTCTAACCCACCCACCCACTCACTCGAACACAGACATGCACGCACGCACGCCCACACGCGTGCACGCCCACACGCGTGCACGCACAAATATGGACCGATATTACATTAAATCAGTAAATTAAGTCTTGCACCTCAAAGAGATAAAGTTGACACAAAGCTTTATGCCATGTCACGCTTTCATTGGAAAGACACAGACATAGAAAGCTAACCAGAAATATTTAAAAAATTATAAGAGTTCAGAATCCTGTCAGAGGAGCCTTGTTGCTTTCCTTAACCTCCTTCTTCTTTCTCTGTCTGATTTTGATGAAAGAAAGTTGGCAAAACATCTGGAGTAAAACCTTTGCAATAATTCTCCCTATCCGCTTTGTGTTGCTGTAGTTTAATAACCTCCAGAGAGTTTTTTACAAAGAAATTGATCAAAATATGTTTGTTTATCCCACGGGCCAATATCAACCACAGAATATTGAACTAAAAATGTCACATTTTTATATTAGCCTTTATAAAAAAAAACAAAAAAAAAAACAAAAACCTAATTGTACAGTCTGTCACACCAAAGTCTACACAGACAGCAGCTTAGAATTTATAACCACATCAAGCAACCAGATCATAGTCAATAAATTTAATCAGAACTGATTTTATTTCCTTCTTTTTCTACATGATAGTAAAATCAGTCAATGTGCACCTCCTTTTATACAGTACTTTATTCCCTTTAGCTTTAAATTGTGAAAAAAAAAACAAAAACAAAAAAAAAAACACATACACAATAAACCAGAGGTTCCCAAACTGTGGGGCCGTGTCATTGCAGGGGGGCGCGGGAAGCCGTCTGGATGAAAAAAAACAAAACATGAACAGTGTATGCGCTGGGTTTTTACCTTAGAATGGCCAACTCTGTTATTCCTATGTCAATTTGATACAGTAGAGGCTTCCACACTTCCCATATTTGTGTCCTCTGTCACTTTTATCAGCAGTTAAAACTGTTTAATCCATTGTTAACATGTTGTAACCTGTTTTTCCGAGCCGCCTTTAAACGCAACATGAGCGCTCCGACGCTCGCGCTGGGTTTACACCTGTGAAGGAGACCTGCTGCTACTGTGCGGAGCTACGTAGGTTTGTCTTAGAATCACGGCAGCAAACCAGCAAAACGCAAAGAACTTTTCACAGTTTTTCCCTCCAAACTAACCGACTTAGTTGAGTAAAGCTGTTGGATACAGGTAATGTTAGCTAAAAGATGACTAGCTAATGTTAGCTAAAAGATGACTAGCTAATATCAATACAGAACCTTAAGCTTAACAAGTATCTTGTAGGCTATGATGTTGGTGTCTATTTTCAGCTACGTACATTCATTTTGCCCCCCAAAAAGTTGATGCCCCCCCTCCCGTCACACGCGTCGTTTCAACCAGACA